GGGGGGGGGAATAATAGGATAACCAATATTTTCTGTAAACCTAGATCATTTATATTTGACTTTTAAATGATATACCCTATAAAAACGTCAAGTCTTTTTAATATGCAAGAACTCCCTAGATAAAAGTAAAAAATTATAAAAATACCAAAACAGGAATCATAAGTTTTTTAAGACCAAAGTAGAAGTTTACAGTGCCATTTTTATAATGCCACACTCATTACATTTTTGTCACATTGTATTTGGCACACAGTATCACCATCACACTATCATCCATAACTGTGACATCGTGGATCACCCATAGTTGATTGGTCACACTGATATTTTACACTGTCATCATGTTTCCGTCACATTGTCAGCACATACTTTTACACCACACTGCCATTAATTATACTCCTATTTTGGTCTTAAAAGATTTAAGACTTCTATTTTGATATTTTCATACTTTTTTAATTCTATTTAAAAAGATTTGTTTTTTGCTAATTCACATTGTGCAATTGAAAAAAAAATCGTCTCATCCCGTGCATGGCACGGGTTAAAATACTAGTGTGCATTCTATTTGACTAATTTGAGCACTCGAAATATGTTTGAGGCAAGTGTTTTAAATTTGCTTTCAAATCTTCTCTTTCTTACATCAGTTTTAACTTATCTTACAGTTTTAACTTATCTCTTTCTTACATCAGTTTTAACTTATCTCTTTCTTACATAAGTGTGAAGTGTCGGGACTTGAAACTGGAGCTTTAAACCTTTATTTTTAAGTTTTTTAATACACATTTTGTAATAGTAAATTAATAAGAATTCATTAATTAATAAAATTTAAACGATAATAATTCATTAAATAAAAAATTACATTAATAAAAAAATTAAAAATTATCTTATATTACGAAAAAATTACTGGTCATTTGAATGACTATAAATATGTTCAATCAAATCCACCGTTAGTGTATTGTGAATTTCTCAGCTTCAAATTTCTTAACGATTTCTTTGTTTCTTTTTTCTTCGTCGATTTCTTCTTATGTAGGCACTTTCTCGTCCGGATTGTAATGTCAAATTGCAAACTCGTTGTCCTCTATAATCACATTAAGAAGAGTAGTACATGCATACATGATATTCCTCATTTTCTTTTGAAAATAACACTTGGACGGATGATCTATAAAGTGACACTTACCCTTTAACACACTGAAGGCTCGTTTGATATCTATCTCGCCGCCTCATGAGTTTTTTTGTAGGTGTAACGACCCGAAAACCGACTTAGTAGTTAGTCGTTATTTTTAATTAAAATAAACATAATACTCCGTATTTATTTACTCAAAAATATGAATTATTGGTAAAGTTATCCGTTTTAAATGAAAATTGGGTTTTCGGATAGGTCTCGTAAAATGATCACCAACGGTATATAGTTTGCTAAATTCGGACATACGTATAAAGCGTGGTGAGTAAAATAGATGTTACAGTTCAATAATTAAATATAAAGATTTTATAATAAAATAATAATAAATTAATATATATTACTCCTAAGAGCACTGGGTATACTCCTCACGCCCACCGGCGTTACGAGGCGTTTAACGCCCCGGGGGCGTGAAACACCGCCCCCCGCCGGCGTTAAACGGGCGTGAGGAGCCCTGCGTCATTCGTTTGACGCGGCGTGACTCTTGCGCGGCTCCCTCCTAACGGCTAAAAAAGTCGTTGCAGCCAGATTTAAAAAAAAAAAATATTTCCTATAAATTCAACCACCCCCAAACCAATCTCTCACACCTTCTCTTCAATCTCTTCTTCTTTATTATTTTTAAATTTCGAAATTCAAACCCCCCCTCCCAATTTTCAACATGAATCCTTCCGGCTCCGGCTTCTTTCCCGACGATCTCCCGCCGAGTGACGTCGCGATGTGGTTCTACCAAGAGTGGGGCGATCGACCGCCGATCAATGAGACGCAACAATCGGGGTACGTCGACCGAGATTCGGTTCCGGAGACTCAACCAGAACCGTCCGGATCGAAAAAAAGTACACGCCGGAAAAGTCACAAAGCCAAAAGCACGTTGACCGAGGCGGCACGGTCAATCAAAAAGTGGTCGCCGGAGGAGGAGTGCATATTGGCGTCGGCTTGGGTTGACGTCTCCGAGCATCCTATCATTGGTAAAAAATTTATTTTTTCTAATATATTTATGTTTTTATTTATATATATTATATTTAATGGTGTCTAAAAAAAATTGTGTAATACATTTTTAAAGCTACGGAGCAAACGAAGGATGCGATGTGGGATCGTATCGAGGAGAAGTTCTTCACGGCGATGAAGAAGGACGGCTCCTACCGAACCCGGGACCAACTCACTTTCAAATGGTGCCACATCAACAAAAAAGTCCGAAAGTTTATGGGAGTTTACGAGGAATGCTCCCAGTCCCGGAGGAGCGGCACGAACGACGCCGATGTTCTCCGGCTTGCCACGACCCGGTATCAAGACGACGGGAACCAAGGCAAGGTGCCCATCGATCTTTGGAAGATTTTGAGTCGTTCCCCGAAGTGGCAACAACTCAACAATCCCGACGGCGGATCATTGCGGAAAAGATCCACCGTCGCCGCCGAGGTTGAGGTCGACGAGACTATCGGTTCTACCGATCAAATCCCTCCCTTCAACGTTGCGGATTCCGATGACGAGGACCCCATTCCACGGCCGATCGGAAGAAAGAAGGCAAAATCCATTGCCTCTGGTTCGGGAGGGTCCGCCTCTGTTTCCG